ACAGGGACCGGACTTACTGAGAATCAGAGACTTTCATGAACTTCTTGAACAATGCTTCGAGTTGAGAAAATATTTGAGTTTCGATTGGTGCAAAGTGTTTAAAATACGAAATAAACTTTTAATATTAAAAGATGGGTATAGGTGTAAGCTTTGCTTAAGAATAGTACAGGAACGACTTGGTCAGAAACCCATGTGATTTCTATAAGAACTCCTTTCTCTCGAAAGTGAATTCTTATATACTGTGCCCACAGAGTGCCCACAAAGCGTCCAAATTTATCAATCTTAAACTTGCCGATTTAGCTACTAGATAAAAAGATATCTGACTCCACTAGTCTGAAGATTTATACTCACAACGTATTGTAGCATAAACTCGAATAATATCTGAACAAAAGCTAAAAACATGCAAAAACCCGCATCTCTGCGTGATTATCAAAGACTCTCTCGAACCTTTGTGCATCATCTAAGCCGTATTTCAGATCCGCTCATCTCTGGATCAATGATCTAATATTAACACTTCAAAGTGATCGGCTTATCYRYGTTGAGTTTACGTCCCGACTTAAATGACCAAGCTTAAGAATMAATAAAAATGGCAACACCCAAGTGTGCCCTTAAATCCTTAAGCTTGACTCACACCCACACCCAAAGGGGTGCTTAGCTCATAATGAAATTAGAAAACATAACAAAAATAGAAGAAGAAAGCTGCATAAGAAATACTTGAACTGAAAWTAAATACTTACTGGTGCCCACAGAGGGCACACAATACAGTGGCGAGAATAAAAGCTGAACTATGAATTAAATTACAAACTGAAAATAAACTAGTTCTAATACTACAAAGCTTTAAGAGGATGCTCCAAGGTGCTGGTGAAAAAGTTGGATTGAGTTGAATTGGAGATGGATTCAATGCTTGAGAGAAGTCTTCAAATATATAGGGGGAAAGGTGGGACCCAAATACTCTTTGTCCAATGGGTAATGACCACCCATCACCACATGTCTTCTTCAATCTTGACCAAGTCACCTCCTCTTGATAGGTTGCAAAAGGTGAAGGTACAACCAATAAATGTG